TGGTGATGGAGCTGGACAAAAACAACAAGAAGCGGGGCACCAACATCTTGCTGCACACCATCAACGGCGAGAGAGGCGCGACGAACCAGCGGCCTCTCGCCCAAATTGCAACCATACCCTTTCGTGGTTAGGTAAGGACTCGATTCTGGTCAGGTGGATTTTTGTTGTTTTGCAAATCCCGTCTCATTTGTTCAGTGGCACCATTTAAATCCTTTTTGTTTCCAAGTATCTTTCTACTGCTCGGATCATTTGTTGCAACTTGATACTCTCACGCCTGAAATAAGCAATTCCCATGTCACGAATGTTCCTGGGTGAGGTCGTCAAACCAGATTTGTTTGTGAGGTTGCTGTTGGGGTCACGGGCTGCAAGTATCACAGATCTTCGCCCCTTCTCCCCCCTCAAGCCATAGCTGGTCTTTGGTGTGACCGAATCACCCCAAAAGGACCTTTTGGAAACATCTCGCTTTTCCAGTAAACCTAAGGTCGAACAACCTTTGGCTCAGGCCCTCCTGAACCATGGCAGGCTTCAGGCAAACTGGTGGAGTCAGCCCCTCCTCGCTTAAACCAAAATGTAGACCGCCAACCCACAAATCCAAGCCAAACGGAAAAGTTGCTTCAGGCACCAACCTGAACATGAAGCTCGGGGTTCGCTCTGCTTGAACTTTTGTATCCGCTTTCATTTCGAGGAGGGCCCAAGAGACGTTGAAAGTGTGGCACCAGCCACCGTGTGCAAACGTGGACCATCTGTGGGGCCGTAGGCCAGCCTTGGACACCAGGCGCTCCTGGCTGCAGGGTTGCTCCCAGCCGTGCCTAAGTATGATTGAAGCCGGTGTCCTCCTCCAGAATTGTTGTATGGCTTAGGGAAAGCGAAATGGGAAGCTACCACAAAGGTCGAACATTGGCAAATTGTCTACCTTTGTGCCGTTTTCTCGTTTTGGGATCAGTGAGCCATGGTAACCCCCAATTCACCCCCATTTGGGTTCGCCTTTTTTTCAGGAACCCCATGGTTTTTCCTTAAAACCGACACTCGGGTGGCCTCACTCCCTCTAACATGGCACCTGACACGAAGGAACCCGACGCCCAGGTGGATCCTGCAAGCGGACGGGCATGTCGCCTTGGCCTCGGACCCCCAGCTGGCCATGGACGCCTGGGGCGCTTACGGCACACCCGGGGAACGAGCTCCAGGGGACCATGCGCATATCAAGCTGGCCTTCAAGGAGTGATGCCTCTGGTGTTATGGGGGGGGAGCGGGGCGAATGGGGGAACTCTCAGATGGTGCTCAGGGAAAACGGGATGTCTTTGGTGTCTCTCTTTGTATGAGTTTTATGTAGGGGCCCCTAGTTGGACATTGTTGAAGCAGGGATTCATTTGCAGTGTCTACATGAGTCTGTGCTTTTTAAGGATACAAGTTTGTTGGTGGCTTGAAAGGGAACCTAAGGGAAAACACCATCTTGGGGGTCGCACAACAGAAAGACGCACACCTATATGTCTACGATTTTTTTTTCCGGGACCCCTAGTTCCGTATTAAATTCGTGGCCATATTATGTGATCTCCTTCCAAGCTTGCAGTATTGTTCTACATGTTGGATTTACAGAAGGGTGAAAGTAGATGATACAATTTCCTTCATGTGGTTAAGTAAGAACACCTGGTTAAGCTTGATTTTGTCCCCTTTTAGTGCGGATTCATCTCTGTTGACTGGCGGCGCCAACTGACACGGCAACGCGGCACCAATTCACCAGTTTCCTAAGTTGGAGAGTGGGAAACCACCAAAGTGGGGGCGGGTGGTTCTGAACCGGAAGAGGATCGCTTCAAAGGAAACTACAAGGAATGGTTTATAGAAGCTATGCGCACCAGCATGGACCCAGGAGCGCTACATTTGCGGCTCGTTGGAAAGTAGCCCACAACTTGCACCCTCCTGTCCACTAACATGGAACCCACTAGAGGGTCTTTTGTACCGGAAAACCGTCTTCCAAGAATCCCCCCAGTCAGATTCCATGTTAGTTGATGGGAGTGGAAATGCAACTTGGGGATGACTGGTGTGCAGCCTTTCCAGGTCCCAGTTTGGGAGTCGCTTGGGAAATCACCAGGAGGGCGGGCAGCCGAAGAATGAGAAGTTTGTCTACCGCGATGGCAGGCTGAGGTGGGCCCATGATGAGCGAGCCTGGCCTGGAGCTTTAAGACGGACATTTCCTACGGCAGCCGACCCCTTTTGTTTCTAGGGTCCCCAGCTAGGTGCCCTTCTCTCCCCTTTCTGGGGGGAGGGTTCCCCATAGACTGCAGAAACAAGGGTGCCCTTATTCAAACCTCTCTACTGGAGGACCTAGGTTTGGTCCCTCAACAGCTGCCGGGTCTTGTCCAATCCTGGCTTTGGGGCAGTCTTGGGGGCAGTCTTGGGGGCATGCTGAAGAGTTCCAAGCCAAAAAAGAAGCGGTTCCCTGTGTCTGCCGTTCGGGTGTGATACTTGTGGGCCAGCCATGCTGCATATCATATTTTTACCAGATCCCCTTCTGATACAAGCATTTGGTTCGATGTATCTGCGGAGCCTTCCTAACCCGGGCCGGAAAAAATGCGTTGCGACCCCTGTCTCTGCAGCTTGGAACAGTAGGCAAGCACAGATACCCTCCCTCTTTCTGTATAAAGGTTATGCCCAAGTACTGGGGTTCGACGTTATGCCTGGCCGTGCCAAAGGCCACCAGAATTCTCGCAAGGGTTGGCCTGGCTGATCCTTCCCCAAGCGAATCACTGGTGTGAAAGGGATATACCAAATTGATCAACCATGAAGCCAAATAAATATGAACCATGGCCATGTCAGCTTAGCACAAGCGCTTCTCAGGACTCTGCGTGGACGTGACCGAGTGCCGTGTTCAGGACCTGCTGGAACAAGAGCATCGGCGAGTGAGGTTTGCCTTTGAAAGGGTCCATGGCAGGTAGTTGTTTGAACTTCAAGGAGGTCCTAACCCTTGCCAATCAGGCTACTTCCGATTGAGCCATGCATGTTCACCCCAGACTAATAAACCCCTCCGATTCGGGGTGTTCCCTCGAGTGGATTCCAGCTATTTCCTTTTGTTTTCTTATGCCCGGTTCTCTTGGTCACCGACAAAACTCGCACCGGGCGGTCGCGACACCGAATCCGATTGAACGGCCGTGTCGTGCGGTCGGAGGACGGCACCCCGCTGCAGCTTTCCATGGAGATCCCGAACCACGACGAGCGGAGACAGAGCCAGCTCTGGGTCTTGACGCCCGTAGAGGTCGAGCTCCGTCCCCACTGGCTGGGAGCATGAGAATTCCTCACTTCGAACTCGAGCCACCTTTCGATTCGTCCATCCTCCTGACTACGAAGAATCGTCCCCGAAGGGTCCGAAATCGAGGATTCCTAATTGCTTGGATCAAACGTATCATGGTCGTAAGTATATTGCACAAGGGTCCCCTTTCCATGCTGCGGGGGAAATGTCATGACCCCGCCTTCTCACTTGCCTCGGGGCTTGAAATCGGCGGCTGGCTTGTCAGAGGCTTCTCAAGCCCAGGATACAGGTCTTTGCAGCGCAACTCAGCATGGTCATAGGTCAGCCACCTCCACCTTCTCCATCGCGATATGCAGTTTCAACCTTTCCACTGGTGAAACCTCGTTCAAAGAAAGGTGGCTTGTCTAATACCATGCTAGACAGGCGAGTTGCGGATTGGCGGAGGGATCGGGATAGGAAGCCTTGTGGGGCGGTGCACCCTGAACACCTCCGTCGCGCTTACAGTCAACGGGCGGGTTTTGAAAACCGCGTGCAAGCCTGAATTCAGGACCACAAGGCTTGCAATGGGCAGAGAGGCACTTGCTTTCCAGAGGACGTTTCGAAACGCCCATGCAGCAAGCTCTTCTGGTCCAAGATTTTGTGGCCCTTGGCCGATTTGGCCTGGGCCAAAGTTTATTTTAGCGCACGTGAGTTGAGGAGTGCGCCGGCTGCAGACGTTCAGAATGGCACAGTGCTGCAGTTGTTTTAGGCCCATGTGTGGGCTCTGGCAGCTTTGGTTTTAATAGCGCCGCGCAACGAAAGAGCACGGCTCTGGACCTGATGCTTAATCCTCATTTTGGTTGCCACGTTTATGGGGTACCTGGTCTTGAGTTGTCTTATCCAGATATGCACTGCTCTCGTCAATTCAAAGGAGACTTGTCCAGAGCCAGCGACAGACAGGTTGCGATGCCTTTCGTTTGCGGGCGATTTACCTTTGAAATCTGACAGCGAGAAACAGCCTTGGCTTCTTGGACGTTTCCAGTTGTCCGAAGCCGACCTTTTAGCCTTTTGGATTCCTTGCAGACCGGGTCTAAAGTGTTTTCCTTTTTAGTTTCGGGCCCCTTGGTCTACGTGAGTGGGAGCACATTCCTAGCCCGAACGTGACCGGTGCCCCATTGAGCTGGCATTTGTCTTTTTTTCTGTGCCATTTGCTGAAGTGAACGCAGGGCCACATCCCCACAGGCCCTTCTTTTTTGGAAATAAAGGGTTAAAGGATTTCCCGATAATTATACCAGCGTAGACCCCTGTGGCAATAAAGAAGGCTCTTTTTTTTTTACAAATATCAATTAAAGGTTTCCTGGTAAGGACATCGAGAAGGAGAGATCTCACGGCACCTCCCCAAAAAAGTTCTCACACGGCCAAGGGACTTCCCCTCGGGCCATGCTCGAGGCATGTGAGAAGGAAGTACCGACGAAGGTTGGTGGCAATGGGGAACCCATCTCTTAACCAACATGCTTAGACAGTTGGTTGGCCCAACAATGATAGAAGCCCAGTATGTTTAGAAGCAGCTTCACACTTTACCCAGAAATCAGGGAGGGCGGGGAAATCCACAGGCATCTGCAATTGCTAATCTCACACTTTTCCAGTTTCTGGACGTCAATCGTTTTGGTCTCGGGCTTGGATCATTGTAGCTAGTGGTAAGCAAAAAGTTAGGTCACTGACAAATGGTTAGGAAGATACAAATCCGGTGGTGCAGTTGTTTGAATGAATATCGGGCCAGGAGCGCAGCTGCGGACGGTGGACGGCTACACTTGCATCCCGCCGGCGCCCCAAGTTACTCCAACTGTGCGCTCTATCTGATGCAACACGGCTTGGGTTGAAGTGAGGTTGCAGCTTGCCCATGAAGGTCCTTTGCTAGAGGGATCCTTAAGTTCCATTCGGGGCTTGAATTTTTTCCCAGGGTCAAATTATGGGCCATGTGGAACATCTCCAGCCTCATGAGCCGGAATCAAAGCACGAGAGGTAGGTGAGGCAGTCCCCTTGGTACGGAAAGCTTTTGGCGAAATGTCCTGGCCATCTTAAGGCGGCCAAAGGGCCATAGATTTGACATCCAGAGTCGGTTTCGCAGAAAGCCTCCCGTCTTTCAGTGGATGTGCACGACCTAGTCTTCTTTGATCTTTGACACAAAACAAGACAGTGTTGGTTGATATTTTCTCAGACCGCTTTGGAGAATGTGCCCCTTCCCATGCTCTAGCAAAGCAATCCGAATGTGCAGGTGGGGTACCAACAACACGGATGCCGAGTACTACACACAGGACGCCCTATGGGCCGGTTCCATCTGTGGGCGACGGGTGATCAGCCAAGTCCGGTGTGGTTGCATTGCCGGACTTCGCGTGCCATTGGCCTTTCTGCTTGGCCCAAAATGGCAACCCGGGTTGCAACCCACTTACAAGTCCCCCTGACAGGGAGGGGGGGGGGGGTGAGGGAAGGTGGTATCCAAAGGCCAACCGCTCACTTTCTCGGCCGATCAAAGGGTCCCTCGCAGGTTGACGCCTTCGTTGTTCAATCGCACCACCCTGCGAAATGAATAGAACCAAACAAGGACAGGGCTTTTCTGCACCTGTGATCCGCTTGTTCCTGCCCTCTAGCGCTACCCCAGGGTTCTGAAACTCAGAAGCGTACCTGAAATTGAATTGCTCTTCAAATGGGTTGGGCAAATCCAGATTTTGTTTGGAGACCCCACAAGGGAACCGCTTTCGTGACCTTGAAACTGCTTCGGGGAATCAGGCCAAAGACAAGTTGTTCTTTTCAAGCAACTTGGCGGTTGATTGAGTTAGCATTAAGCACCTCAGGTGCTTGTTGGTCCACTCAAAACAATCCCTTCTGAGGCATGTGAGGCATGCGTCCCCGGACTTTCAACGATTTGGGGTTGATAGTGGTCACAAGTCAGCTTGCTCTCACCAAGCCAATCCCCTAAGTAAGAAAGGGTCATTTTTCCTGTTTTCCTTGCCGGGCAGGCTTTTGTGCAAAATCCACCGGCCAAAAAAGGATCTCCAAATCTCCCATGGCCGTTGTCCAAATCGATCGCTCGAGGAGACCTTTCCGAACAACGACCTCCGTGGCAGCTACTGCCCACAAGCCCAGGTGTGATGGAAAAATGAACCAACCACCTCCAACCAGGTTGCCACAAATCCGCGGGAGCTTGCAGAGAAAAAAACCTTTGTTGAGTTTCCTGGTTCTAGCAAGGTTTCGGGCATCCGCCAGTTGCATCCTGTGGTCCGCAACTTTGGTGGTTGCAATATCTCGCGAAGTTCGAAGTTTGCGTTGGGGGCGTGGTCGCTTCCTCCAAGCCCACACGCGATGGGAGCCACTGCCATAGAGACAAACTAGGAGCATTCAGGACCCTTGCGGTCCATTCCCACCAGCCGGTGCCTTTGGCCCTGTAGACGTACCTTCCTACAGGTGTCCGTATATGTCCCTTGCTTGTGGCCTCAAACGGTGCCTGGGTAGGGGTGATGCCTTCAAGGAGAAATCTAGGGAACCCTGCCCTGCCCCAACTCATGTGGTCTTGTTTTGCGCCTCCCTGTAGGGAGTTGTCCAAAATGTCTGTCGACCAGGGGAGAACATGGGCCTTTCACAATTAGGACCCCGATCAATACTTCCTTTTCTTTTCTTGTCTTGTGTTTCCTTTGGTTTTCCTTGCCATTGCAAGCGCCACGCAAAATCCGGGCGTGCTTCATGTGACTTTCCGCCCCGCTTTGGGCGCGGCTGAGGCCGAAATCCGTACGACGCCTCCTCGGCGACCGCGGACAGCAAGGCGCCGCTCAAAGGATTCCGTCGAGAGAGTCGGGGTTCCTTCGAGGATACACGGCCATGACTTTTTGAGGGTACCCTTTGTGTTCGTTTGTTAATTTGGGTATCGGTCAAATTTAAAGCAAGAGGGGACGGCAGGTTTTGGTCCCTGTTTCTTGTTGACAGGGTTCCATTTTTTGGGCACGTATTTTTGACCCCAGCAATTTTATGGGAAACCAAGGGAAACCCGCCATTTCGCACGCAGGTCTATTTGTAAGACACACATGCTGCTTGGCAAGGGGATCCCGGAGAGTGGCCACTAAGAACTGAGGGAACCCAGGGAAAACATATCTGGGGTCTCCCAGGCATAGCGATTGTCTTTGAGCGGATTAAACGTCTACCTGTTGCCCATTTCCATTGACTTGCTCTCTGGGGGGATGTTTAGCGGGGACACAAAGTCACAAAGAAACATGTCTCCTCCCAAAACCTGAAGGTTGACGAAATGCAGATTCCGAACCATCTTTCTTTTGTGCAATCCAGGGGTGAGTCAAAATTTGCCTGGAATCTACATAACCCTCAAACGAACTCTGCAAAATGCTCCTTTGCACTTGCCCCAAGCGCACCGCAGAAGTTAAGAGGAAATGAGTCACTTTCCCAGGACGGTTCGCCTTGCATTGTTGGGTCCCTAAGGGGCAAGCATTTAAGGTGCTAAAGTAGTCACGCTTTGGTAATCATCCCAGAATAGCTTGATTTCCCACAGCAATAGCCTGGGTGCAATTTGGTTTAACACTTTTCGGGGGAAATGCGTGGTTCCCCACGAAGCCACGCAAAGCTAAACGTGTTTGGGGGCAATGCCGACCAAGATGCTATAGAGTCAGCAGCACATGACGTGAGTCGGATTGATGCCTTCAGGCGAGGACCATTTGGTGCTTCACCTCGGACACCCAGGTGACGTGGCAGGAGTGTCGGCCCATAGGGGTGATCCGACCCCCCTGCCAAAATGGAGACCCGGCAGCAAAGCGAATCGAGTCGCCGGATCTTGGGGTTTTTCCGTTGGAACGCCCCCGCTCCATTGCCAGACCAAAGGCTGGGTGAAAGTAGATGGCGCATTTCCCTCTATTACCTGCAATTACCTCCGGCTTACTAACTTGGTCCCTCACGGCATGGAATAGAGTCGGAAGATATGATCTTCTGCATACCCTAAATGTAGGCCTAGGTTAGGGACAGGAGGGGCTTTGGTTCCTTTTTCGTTTGGGTCGACTTCCGATATCCTGGTCTCGCCGAGGCTACGCAGTATCAGATGAGACGATTCGGCTGGTCATGGAGCTGCTTGCCTGAACCCTTTCTTTGTTGTCCTTTCTTGACGCTTTCCATGTTGATCGTTCTACGTTGAGACACGCAATCGCGACCATTCAACCCAGTTCAGAAGTCAAAGCTGACTCAGACACTTGGCAAACAGGCGGCTTTTGGATTAATGACTTCCGACCATGCCACACAAATCCCCAAACGAATACATCTCACTCGGGGAACACTCCTGAGTGATAAGTGCGGTCCTCCAGCTTAATTCGAAAGTTAACATTAGGCTTCGTCCGTGGAGTCAAGGCATCAGTAGTGAGCAGGAAAAGCCCAGTGGAGGTTTCGCGTGAAAAAGCCGAGATTGTGGAAGCGCTGGACGCCTGTTCAACGTTGTCGAAATCCCGACCTATGAGACTATGTTTAGCAATGCCATTATCAGCTACTCTTTGAGTACACTCACAAGCAGGGAATTGTCGTTGGCTTAGCTTGTTTTGATGCGTTTTGATGCTGTCCTTAATTCTCCATTTCAACCAGCAAGTCTAAGTCTAGCCAAGCCAATCAAGATTCCTGCCTCATATTCCAACCATCACGGGTTGAACCAAAAAACCTCCGGCCATCGGAAAAGTTAAACATCCCTTGAAAGGACTGCCTGGCATTGTCCAAACTGTGGTGGTTCAGCTTCCACCCATGTGTCTATGTGTTGTTTTGGATGGAGAAACGTAGGTCAGGCGGTCCGGTGTCAAGAGAAAGGTGGAGTGTCCAATGTGCAAAGCCATCGAAACCAAAGAGGAGGCCGAGCGTTCCCTGAAGCGCGGCTCCACATGATTCGTGCCTGCACTCCCTAGGCGTTTGGCCTCCACACTTGCCCTCCCTCAGGCGAATGGCAAACTGCCAGGACCATTTTGGAGAGGACCTTCCTCTTTAAAGGGAATCCTGGTAACTTCCATGTCGGCCTGTGGGAGGTAGTGGGATCACCAGCAGTGGCCCAATGGTTGACTTTACAGAACCCATTCGATCGGGGCAAAACAGCTCCCAATGAGGTCTCTTGTGGTTGTTGAGGCCTAGGGTCCATCATCATGAGATCCATGAGGCGTCCAAAAACACGCCCCAGCTAAGCCTGCAGTGACCAGGGAGGGGCATGCCGGCGGGGTATGGAAAGCCTCTTGGGCGCTTTGGACCAAGCTGAGCCGGACACTGCGAGGTATTGCGGGTACGCTGTGTGGGTGATGGGCCTGCTGTACCTGCTCCCTGGCAAGCGCTTGGGGGAACTCGGATATGCCCATCACAAATCTGACTTCAACATATCGACGGGCCAGTGGTGTTTTGATCCCAGAGCCACTGTTGCGTAGCATTTGGGTCATCTTTGGCCTTCACGGAAATCATCCTGCCCGAACAATACTTGAGGGCTGTTTGATAGAAGGCATTCAATTCCTATCTCGCGGATTGATTGTCTATTTTGACCAAGACCAAAGATCGAAGCGGACATGTGTGGCATTTTGCGGGCTCGCTGCATCCGTGGGAACAAAAGGATTTCTTCGCATGAGCTTCCCGCTCCGGCTTGCTCCCTCTTGAACTTCCTGAGTTCCGATCGGCTTTGCACTTGTTTGGGCCATCCAAGGGGGGGCTTCCCCACGCCAACTTTCGACGGCTTTGCCGCGCAGGGATCTGGGCTGCGGGTTTCGGCATTGCGGCTTTCCAACAAACATGGCACATCGGATTTGCAACAACACCCCAGTTTGAACATAGCCGAAAAGTTACACGGAAATATCTCATTCGGAATTAGAGTGTGCAACATCCCCATTATGATTGTCAAGGCCAGCAATACATATTTGTATTCTTGCCAAGCGCCCTGCACGAGATTTGGGCAGATTTTGCAAATTGTATTTTCCCAAAAGCGCGCCTACTTGTTTATCAACTGGACTGAATGAATCCCGGGCTGGCTTCTGAACTTGTTTGGCAGATGATACTTTCTAGGGTCTAGGTCGCAGCGACCTGAGCGGACGGTGCCCTTTCTTTCCCCGATAGTTCCTCACAAAATGGCCAACCCCCGAAGCCCCAACTGTTTTTGCCGGTTGATGATTCACCCCTATTGGCTTGCGTCCACACAGGGCTTTCAGCTGAATGGGCACCCTGGATGGGGGTATTTGTTCTTTTTTTCTTGTACCTTTTTGGGGATGGGACAAAAAGGAACCCCCAAGCAAAGACCCTTTTTCTTGTGGGTCCACCATTTTACCACTGCCCCGGGGAGCCGCCTTTTTTTTTTTCTTCCCCCAGGTTCCTGATCCTCTGCTTCTGCAGCCGGATCCGCGAAGCCATCGCCATCAACAAGGTGGCGGCCATGTTCGTGGCTTCTCGGCCTGAGAAACTTCTTCGGAGCTTCGACGCTGTGGGAGTCTCACCGGGCCCCTGATCCCGTGTGACAATGAACCCGTGTTTAATCCTGTGGGATTGTCACTCTCCCGTTGGACTTTGACCTTTTGGTTAAAGCAAATTGGGAGTATCTCCACTGAATCTCCGCTTACCCTTGAGCTGCATTGACTTACAATGGCGAATACTTGTCTCAACAGAAACCCAACATGGAATTGATATTCTATTTGTCCGGCCTCTATTTAGAACCGGTACACTGAATTGTCTGTTGCCGGTTTCCCCACGAACCTGAACCAATTTGCAACGCTGATTTTCACATCCCAACTCCTTGGGCCGCTGTGTTCCTCGGTCAAGAAGCTTGGGAGGGTTCCGGAGGCTTGAGGGAGGGGATAGATGGACGTTTTCTCACCTTACCCTTGTGATGTCGCCGAGGTCCACAAGCGCTTGGAGAGTAATGTTTTAACATCATGTCCTTTCACCTGGCCGCTTGGGTTCACCCTATCAACCCACCTGGTGATTGAATTGGGAACTTGAAGCCCTTGCCTTTCTTGCAAAATCGCAAAGCACCCACCCTACTCTTTAAACCACCCATCCAAGCCACAAATTAGGAGAAGGTTAGTTATGTTTTCGTAAGCTCTTCTGGGTTTCGATCATGCTGGGTCAATTGTTCAGGGGCATCCTGAAAGTTACAGAACCGATCTAGGGCTGCTGTGTCGGGATGCGAAACCACTACCCCACGAGCCCCACTCATGGAAGTGCACAGGCCCCTTTGTAAAAGCGGACTTCCATGCCGGTTGGGCGGGTCGGGGAGGAGGGTAGTAACCAGTCAGCGGGTTCCCCGCGGCAGGCCAGCAACCCCACGGTGGTCGTAGTGCCCATCGTGCAGGCGATGGGGCCTAGGAGTCCTCCATAGCCATGCCTTGGCTGTTGGGAAAGATTTGAAACAGTGTTGCTTATTGTAGCTGAGTGGTTGAAATCCCCAGTTAACTGCTAAAATGTAGAATTTGTTGCTCCCCTTCCAGCGTCAACCAAGTTGGTAGGCACCCCTACGTTGCCATGGCACCTGGCAAGTGGTCCCAAGGGGAAGTTGATCCAGGTACCCTCCAGATTCGCTTTGTTTGCAGGAGGGAGGGTAAATGGAAAACAGATGTCTCATCCAAAAGCATTTGGTTGAAGGGTAGCCGAAATATGAAAGCGGATCACCCAAACAGCTTGACATTTGTGTACCGAGGTTCAATCTTATCGAAGGCTAGAAACCTGGGATTGCTTGCGGAATCAAGTAACGCAAGTAAGCTGGCTTTTTGTTTCCATTGAGGTTCTTGTCCCATGTTTTTGAACCCAATTGGGTTACCAAACTTGGAGCTTCGGTAGATTTCTTCACAAGTTGATAGCCACTGGAGGTTTGGGCAAAGATGGCGCCTCAAGGCTAGGAGCTTGGGCCTTTTCTGCCTCGCACAAGGGCACCCCCCTTATGGGGAAATTCATGTCGGTGTGTGGGAGGTTTCCAGTTTTAAAGGAGAAGTTGGATTCGACCTGCAATTGCCAGCCACAGGGGGTCCTTTGATTGCCCTTCAAACGTTGCCTGGCCGGCTCTCGGGATGGACGGCAAGACATCGATAGCCATGCTGCTATCGACTGATCGCACATGAGCTGCTCAGAGCTCGCATAATTCTTTGTGTGTGCGAAATAGTCCATATAACCAACGAAGAATGATAAGTCGCCTTATCTTTCCACACCCTTAGTCTAGAACATGTGTTTTGCCAAACGAAGGAGCAATACAGCCTGGGGAAAATCACCAGTGAGCTTGATGTTCATCTTTTCGGGTGCCTTAAGTGGAGACCAGCTGCCAAGCCACCCGACTGCCAGCTGGTTTGGAGCAGAGGGTTCCAAGTAGCGAAGTAGGTGGTGTTTGGCGATATCCTGCGAGGAATCTGACAAAGTGATGGCCGGCATTGCTCATTATTCCATTTTACCAGACCCCTTTTTGCGAAACCTGGCCTCGCGGCGTTGCTTGAGGTTTGCACCTGGGGTGGGAAGGGAGAGAGTGGCCAGATTGCGGGCACAAAAGTGGGTGATGGGTGCCCTTCCCCCGGCACAGTTCCACAGTGCCACCGTCCAAGATGTTCCGGTGGCGCAGGCGGTCCTGGCAGTCGCCTGGATTGGGATCTGGGTCTTCTGCGCTTCCTTTCTGCTCTCCCAAGTGCCGGCAGACTATACGCCAACCGACTCTTGGCAGGCAATGGCAGTTGCAATGGCAGTTGCAATGGCAGGCCAAGGCCACGCATAGCCACAGCGACCTGGCCAAAAAAGTCACGGAATCCCCAAAGAACGCAAGACTGGTGCTACTTGTTATGTGTTTGAAAGCTTTGCTTCCATGATTTGGAAGCAATCCAAGTGACAGCTAAGTCGATTGCATGGGTTTATTGCATGGCTTTCTCACTCCCCGCCAGGGTCAGGGGTCCCTGATTTGGCGCCTCTCAAAGGGTGCGTTGCTGCCGGTTTCTGCCATGAAGGCAAACCTAGCCTCAGCTTGTTTCACGGGTTCAGCCAAGATGAGGCTTCCTTTCTTCTATTTATGAAGTGAGTATGCCGCAAAAAAGCAGGCTCTTCTCCTTTCAAAAGCAGCCTTTGGCTGGCACCAGCGGCTGAAATCTGTGGAACAGGGCTGTCGGTTTTGGGGCCTGGCCATGAAAGCCTAAGGGCGCTTACGCCACCTACGCGGAGGCCGGACTCTGAGTGCCCATGCCGCGAGTCATGCAATTCCCAAAGCCAAGCATTTTGGGGTGAGAAACGCCTCTTTAACCTTCTTGCAATGACCAACTTGCCCAAAGAGAATCGACCGGGGCTAGTCTTTTGGTTTCGCTAAGTTAGTCCATATTTGGATTTAGTCGTTTGGTTCCAAAAGGTCATCACCTTTTCGCCAGGCCTATGGCACCTCCACCACGCCTGGGCAATGCACAGGCAAGTGGCCCACCGGATTCGTGTACAAGGCGGGGGTGGAGGCAAAGGTTTCTTTGTCATCACGGAACTCGCGGTTTAGTCGGTTTAGTGCAGGCTTTTAACCCGCTAGAAGTTAAGCTTTTGGAAGGGGATCTGAGGACAGCCCAGTTTGGGTAGGCTAATGGGCATGTCTCCGAACGTGAAGCGGACCACAAAAAAGTGCTTCTTCCCTGCTGGTGTCCCTTTCATAAAAAGCAACAGGGGGTGTTCTCTAAAATAGGCACACCCATACGGACCACAATCTGAAAGTGTAGATGTTGTTGGTAATTATCCCCAGCTTTGGCGAAGGATCCTTGAAGCTACCCACGTTGGCTATGACCCAGTCAGGGTCCCCTCGCTGCCGGCGGGGGGGGTTGGTTGGGACCGGAGCACTTGCAAGCGGGTCATGGGGATACTGACCACTAGCTCGACTCTGGATGAATTCAAGCTGCCTGTTCAAGGTTTGGTGCATTTACTTTCGACAGGTGTTGGCACCGATTTCTTGAGATAATAGACTCGTCACACAGGGTGAGGGCCCTAAATATTGCAAGTAAGGAACGGGGGTAACCCCTAATTTACGGCAATGTACCACAAATGTTGTTTGAGTATGGTTGATTTACTGCAATATGGCAGGAATCGGCATCAGGCCTGTAGCCAAACAGCGCCCCTAAGTTTGACAACCCATGTGAAGACACAGAAAACCAAAGCTTCAGGGCAAATGATGTCAAATTCTGCCCTCTGTGTGAGGCTCATGTGAACTGCCTCTCGATTTTGAGCCAAACGCAGGACGAGGACAACTGCGAGATGTCGAACGGGACAGCCATGTGCTGGAAGCACCCGGGCACCGAGGGACTGCTTTTGACTTGCAAAGTACAGGCTTCTCAAATGCAAGTGGGACTCGTTTCCCGAGGGCCAAAGCGAAAAAAATGGCACTCCAAGAACAAATTGCACGGGCAATAGCCTTCGGATGTAATGTGTAATGCGGAACGCCGGTTCCCCCCCTTTTGGTTAGAGATCATCCTTTGTTTGACTTGAAGTGAGTTCCTTTTGGCAGGCTATTCACAGGGGACATGTAGGCTCTGCGTGCCCTAGCGCGACTCACAGTTTGCAGGGGGCCTGGTGGAGGCTCCGTTAGGAACATAGCTTGGAGAATGATACTCCTTACAACAAGTAACAAAAGGGGATTCCTCTACAAATTGTTTGTTTGTTGGTTTCATGATATTGTGTAGGAGTGTATTCATTGAAGTGCTTGCTTGTTCCCTGCAACCGCTGACTCCCTGGAACATTTGGTTTAACTGTGCCCTTCTTGCACAATTGTTTAGGGGCCTCAATGGTCGGAAACGCCCAGGAAAAGATGCAATTGTATGCGCACCGTTAAACAACTAAACCCAAATAGGCCTTAGAAGGCACCATTAGGCGCCAAGATCGCAGCTGCCTGCTTGGTAGGGAAGGGCTTGTTGCGGGTTGCAGGTCAAACCAAAGATTTGCGAATAAACCTGTATGAGTACTGGGATAAACATCCTACCGACTGGTGCGAGGTTTCGTCAACCAACACAAACTTTCCGCCATGTCAATTCCGGTACTCTCCCAGGCACTTTCAGTGAACAGTAGGGCAACTTGCTGGGAGCTTCCATTGGGAGAACGGCACACGGAGGGGTTTCTCAAATTTGCCTTGACGTGAACTCAAAGTTAGGGGCGTTCCCCCCAACAGTTATCCTGATCCCCAGAACCCCGAAATACAATCACCCAGGTTTGCTTCAATCCTTCCCAGGACTGGCTTCGACATGGTTTAGAGTTCAGACAAGAGATAAATTCCTGGGTTCGTATTTCCACGGATCACAGCAATTCCATGATGCATTTATTTTTTGCTTTCCTGGAGTGGTGCTTTTTTGGTTTTGCCTCAAACTCCAACATGCCGCAACGTCCAAGCTTATCCACCATGCTCAGAAAATTAGAGCCCTTCGCATCCTCCGCAACACTGACGTCCTCGAAACCAGCACTGCCCAATTACTGCCCAAACGACCCTTTAAACCAACATCCTCAACCACACCTTAAAGCCCAACCCCAACATCCTCACAACCGTGACGGTCCCAAACCCTAAGCAAAATTGCCTGCTGCCCACATACAACCGCGTTCACAAGCGACAAGCATCAACCTTGAAGCCCTCCAATCCCTCCACTGCCTGACGTCCCCAAACGCAAAGCAAAATTAAGACTTGCTAAACTCACAGTATGCCTCAGCGTTCAAGCCCTTCGACCGATTTATTGAACTCTGGCTGGTCATTAATTGTCCACTGAAAATCGGATGTCCAAATGCCCAACAGCAAACGCACACCAAGCATGAGGTTCCCCTGAATTGGAGGTTTGGGTTGGTGGTTTGGGGGGCCACCAAACCGCCAATCCAAACCATCAACAGTAAGGAAGCCAAAAGGTCAAGCAAAGATTTCCGAGTTTCCTACACCTTAGAATGGCTGGAGAATGCTGGAGAAGTGAGTCCAGACTCCGCTGAGACTCGCACTTCGCAACATCGCATGTTGCGAGGTGCGCCCAGCCGCGGTATGCCTTCGACTGGCGCTTTGCGTGCTCCTTCTTCATGCTGCTGTGGAACAACGCCCCTCGGATCTCCAGCCGGGGGGGGTGCACGCTCGTAAGGGTGTTCCTTTTTTGAGTTGGTACTCTTTTGGGGGTGGCTTTTGAAGGGAAACCAAAAGCAAACCGTTGCCATTGCCAGGGTTCTCATTTAAAGATTTTGGTTGATGAAGGGAGGCGAAAATGGAAGCCAGCTAAGATCTCTTGCAGACTTTGACAGGTTCCAACAAACGAGCTCCGTGGGTTTGCTCTAAAGGTCAATCATGTGTGTTTAATCTCAATTTCACATAGAACACCGTCCACAAAGGCGCATTCCCACGTGCCTCAGAGACATGGGCATGCCATTTTGCATTCTAGGCTGACTGAATATGGGCCTTTCCTTTTCGGGCGCAACCCTTTTTTTGGTATCATGTTAAAGAAAAAATTGCCCAAAGGAAAACCACCACTTTAAGGGCTCCCCTACTTTGAAACAAGTCCATACTGTGAATGGACAACTCCAGCTGGTAGGGTGGTTTGCCCATCCTCAGTAACAGTTGCAACGGAAACCCATCATGCACAGGAATACCACTCACTCTACGGACTCCCGTGTTTTGACGAAACCCCATATGCCGAATTTCCGAAGAGCTGCTCTCTTTTTCTTCGTCGTTTGGGGGCCGGTCCGGTCCCTTCCGACGGGTCTGGGCTCGGTTCCGGAGGCCTTCAACATCGCCTGTGGGCAGTTCATTGTGGCGGCGGCCGCGCCTTGAAAGTTCTGACAGGGGCGGGATGTCGTCGCCCTCCAAATCCATTTCATTTGCTTGGATCGCAGAAAGTTGGGTCAACCCCACAGAGGGTTCCAACTTCCCTAGATTGGGCCAGCCCCTTGTTTGATCGTGGTTAAACCAGTGTTGTTTGAGCAACCTGCTTTTGGCTTGCCTTTCAGGGTGACCAGGGTCTAGGGTCTGCCTGTTGAAAGCCATTTCGCCCACCCCCAATGCAGTGCATCCACATCAACCCCGAAGAAATGGTCATGAGCTCTGGGGCCGTGGGGTTGTCAGTTGTCAGATGCCATTTGGAATTACATTATATATTGCAAACTGTGAACCCAGCAATAAGAAAGCCCGGGTTGATTATCAGGGCCTGCCCCATTTCTGAGACATGGGACTCGCATGTTCAATCCGCGGGTTGATCGATCATGGGTCCATTAGAATGAATTCCTCAAACTTACCCTCTAAATACTGGCATTCGGGTAAACACCCCCAAGAGCAGTTTGGAGAACCCCGCAAATGAGCATTCTGCGATAGACATACGAGGAAACTGGCAGAGGGCTGCACTTTAAGGACCTTTTCAATCGCAAGGTTCACACAAATTTGCCCAAACATCGGGGACATGGTTGGTGTTCTTTCAGCTTCCGTCAGAAGCCTAGGGCCCGTAGCTGTCCCTTTTTAGATGGGGCTGGTTTAGAGAGGTTTAATTCCATTTACCAGGGCCATCTATTTTTCCAAAAGGACACCTATGCTAAGTCCCTCATGGGGCCATACCCATTGTCCTCGCTTGGAACAGTCTGGCTGAGAAGGTCCTGGATGGGACACCTTTTCGAAGATGCCAGGCCTTGATTCGCCGCTTCCAGCGCATGCCTTTCGGAGACCCTTCTCCAGGCTCTATGTGACCTCGTGACATTCTTGAGTGTTCTCGGAGTTCCCAGGCTTGTGCACCCTTCAAGAAAGGCCTTGAGACCCTTTCGATTTCTTGATGTTGTTTCAAGAGCCCAGGCTTCGACGTGTGAACCTATGTCCAGGTCATTTGTTTCCATGGGTTGTTTTGCCTATGCTCGCATCCCGAACGGCATGGCACGGCACGGCAAGGCGGCGACGTGGTTCTTCAAACCCAACGAAGAGAAGGGAAAGAAAGGAGCTGAGTCACGCAGATCGATCGTGGGCGTTGGACTCCTGGGATTGTATCCCCAGACTGTGCAACTTGAGGTCCCTATATCGAGCCTTCAGCTTGTGACATCACCCTTTGGGCCGCGTTTGAGCTTCCTTTGAGGGAGTAGCCGTTAAAATGGCCCCAGGCTGATGCTTTGCATGGCTTTATTTGTGCAGGTGGTTACCTCGAGCTTGGGTGGCCCCTTTAACATGCAGGTATTGAGCATGATTTATCGGAGAAATGGCTTGAAAAAGTTCGAGTTGATGCTTGCTACGCTAAAAAGGACAGCAGCCGTACCCCCAGGTACGTTTCAGTCTCACCGTGACTGTGACTAGCTGAATATGTTTTGAAATAGCACAAAGCGCCATTGCAAACCCGCAATTGATGGAGATCTTCAAACAAATATTAGAGTTTTGCCTCAGTTGTAATTTGAGGTTGGATACAGCCCAAAAGAAGCCGCAATTGGGTGATGATAGTATTGTAAGTAAATCCCCCACCCCCAGTTCAACTGATAGCAGCTCTCGAGGCGTTGGATATCCAAACCAGCCCGCCACGACAATGTGTCTCATACCCAAGGGAAACCTTTAGTTGCCAGATTTTACAGAAATCGCGGCCTCACCGGTGAGCCCTCATGAAACTCTCAGTCGGGCTGGGCATTTGAGGCCTGGATTTTGTATGATTTTGTCTGAGCAACTGATAGACGAACAAAGCTGGGAGCCATCAAAGCGAGGCTTGGGCTGCAACCCCAAATGGCTCCAAGTCTAAACCTCACTGTGGGCCACTTGGAGTTCCGATCCATGTGCCGTCGGGATCCACCTCCTGCACCTGGGATCCGATCCAATGGCGAGGAGTCACGGGGCAGGCGGTGGGGATCGCCTTCCGGTACCACTTGGGGTCCTTGGCCTTCGGCTCCTTCGTCATCGCGGTGGTGCAGTTCATTCGTTATGTGATGAGCCTGCGGCGAAAAGAAAAACACGACCTACTTGGGCACGTTGTTGTTTTTCACCCCAAAAAAAGGCGCCCTCAAGAAAAGACACACCCACTTAGCGAGTTCGAGCGCACCATGTTTGAAACATTTGGATACTTTTTAGCCAAGCCACTCAGGTGAGCAAAGGAACTTGGCCGGGGAGGCAAGGGTAACCCAGGCCTCCCCAAGGCTGCGGATAGCACCAATTTTGCCACCCCCTTGTTCCCTTCCAAAACCCCAAGGCTTTGCGGGATTGCGTCTGCCTTTCTCAAAAGGTGGGCATTGGTTTGCCCCAGAGGCCACGAGGCTACACTTCTGGAAAGGGTTTGGGGAGCATCATGTAGGCGGTTTTTCCTCTTTCCCTCAGACAAAGCTGAAAAGCCTCTTAGAAGACTACTTGGGGAAGACCCTATGTCAATTGGAATCAGACAAGCCTGAGTTGGTGCTTGCCTGAGTTGGTGCTTTGGCTTGGTTGGGGGTTTGACCCCCTAGCTCTTATTGGGATTATATGGGAAACCATCCCTAACCCCTAAGCCACCAATCCAATTTGCGGATGGAAAGGGGGTACCTTCTATTTGAATCAGGCATGTATGGCCCAAACTCCCTCCCCCAGTTGGACTTTCAGCGTGGCCCCAATTCACTGGAAGCTGAGGATGTACCTTGAGAAGCAGGCGCAGGCGCAAAAGAACAAGGCTTCTTGGTTTGCAGGATTCACCTGAACCTTGTCAGGTGCATGTTAGTAGGAGAGGGGGTGGGTTCTTTACTTGGAAACGGTCGTTTCCGGTTTTGGGGTGGCAAATCTGCGGCTATGTTTCACAAGCCCCTGAGGTCCCAGAACCCAGACGCATCTTCCAGATTGACCCTTCGCAGACATGTTTGCACACCC